AAAAAAAAAAAAAAAAAAACAGGCCCCACAGAGAGAGAGAGAGAGAGAGAAGAGATAACAAAGGGTCCCCTTTCGAGGGCCCCTGCAGGTACCTCGAATAACTCCTACGTTACATGTGGAGTCATCGAGGACCACTGCTTCAATTAGGAGGATGGTCTCGTTATCTGTGGAAAAGGTAGGGCAGACCACCAATATATGCTTTGGATTCGAGTTCAAGGCTGTAGCTCGGCAGTTATGGGTCAACCAATTCAGCTAGAGCCTGTTCGTGTCTCCACGTGATTCTCAGGGCCTCCCTCCACCACTCACCAAATGTATACAATATTAGTAGAATGAATCTTCTGCTAAAACATGGAACCATACACCGCCATATGCTATGTCTTTTGTGCATGTGGTGAGTAGTGGAGCAGACCCCACTGTACGTATTCATAAGAAAACAAAAACAAAAAACCGAGAGAGCTATGGGCATCTTCATCCTAACCCATAACTGCCGACATGCAGACCTGAACGCCAACCTTCAGAAAATATTGGTGGTCGGCCACACATGAAAATGTGACCTGTGACTTCTGCAATATTCGTGGGGCAGGTCGTTACTAGGCGACTAGTCCCTTCTCGCGAACTTACCACACCACTGCGTGTGATTTGCAGAAGGGAGGGGGAAGGCCAGTTTCCATACCCCGCCTAAGAGAAAAGTTGGAATGAGCCCTATTTTATGCTTTGCCTTTTTGAAATTTCTGGGGGTAGGGCCTGCGGAAAATGAAATTCGGCAGCCCTTGACCAAAAAAAAGTTTGAACCGGGGGCGCGGCCGGTTTGCGAGCTCGCGTGGTGCATTTAACATTTTTGCCGAGTTGGGGACCCTAAGGAATGACAAAACCCCTTTTTTTTTTTTTTTTTCCCGAACCTAATTTTTACAGTGCGGTGCGCTTGGGTGCGCTGCGCGCGGTGCGCAAATCGTTCGCAAATCCGCGCACCGAGGTGCGCCGCAACTATCACACATATGCGAGCTGGGCAACAGGAATGGCATAATACGGAAGCAGTTGCCGAACAAGGAAAGAACCTGGCAGAGACTCCAAACACAACATTTTTTTAATTATTACTTTTTTAAAGTTTTTTTACTTTTTTCAATTATTTTTATTTTTTTTAAGTCCAGATCGTACTAGAGGTCCACTACCTCCCAACGAACTTTGTGCTAAATGACAAATTCAACAGATTAGAGCAAATGATTACGTAAATTACGTAAACGAGTTAAATGATTAAGTAAATGAGTTATTTTAACACACAGAGTGAATCCCGCACCATGCCCGAAAAAAAAAAAAAAAAAAAAAAAAAAAAAAAAAAAAAAAAAAAAAAAACTCCCCTTGTGCTTCTGCTCATGCTGTGGGCCTCGTTGCACTACTCGCCATCCGCCAAGATTTTGTGTCATCTGGGCAAAATGATGTCCCCATTCATTAAAAACATTGGCGGATCGCGAGTAGTGCAACTAGGCCCTGTGTCTCTTTTGACAGAGTGCCGGCTTCTTGTGAAACTTCAAGTTACTTGCAATATTGTGTATGAATGGGAACCCGGACAACAGAATTGTCAGAAGAAGAAAAAAGGAATCACTGGGCCCCGTTCCCAGCACGTGCTGCTCCCCATGAATATAGATTCGAGCCTTGATTTGTTAAAATAAATAAATAAATAATAATTAAAATAAATAATTAAATAATTAAAAATCATGGAGGGATAAGGACGGGTAAGCTCGGGGACCACCAGTACTCGAACAGGGAAACGGTGGGACTTCTTTTTTTTTCTTCTGGGGGGACTGTTTAGGATCGGTAGTTGAAGTGCAGCGACAGAGAGGGGTAAAAACCCCCTTGGGTCAATCAGACCTCCTCTAGGAAAAGGGTGGGGTCTGTCTAAGTCTAGGATCATGTGCTGCAGGGTTCAGAAAATGTACAGCCCTCAGGTACCGTTACATGTTGCGCCTGCAACAGGCTGCACGGGCCATTTTCAGGCCCGTGTCGTTTTCAGCCTGAAAGCCTGAAAACAAGGGCCTACAGGCCCTG